CCAGTGAAGTGGAATCGCGATTCGGTAGTGTGTGTAGCTCCTCCAGAGGGACTTCACACACGATTCAACGATTCACGTTTCCCATGATTCATGACGGCGATTCAGTCCTCCTGAATCGCACCGCTGAATCGACGGTGAATCGTCTACTTTGACTGTCCCTGATGTGAAAGAAGACGGGCATGCGTAACAATTACTTGATTCTTCTCAGATAGGAAGGAAGGAAGGAGATGAGTCCTGAGGTTGAGATTAGATAGTCACCAACGTCATGACCAGTGAGGCCTGAGGCCTCGAGGAGCGTTCTTCAAGACTCCGTACTCGGTATTCATCGACATCGATCATCGAATCGACCATCGACCATCGACCATCGATCACCTCTTGATTCAATTTAGATGGTCCCTCCGCTATAGCCACTGTGCACATCGTTTCCGAGTCTTTCTTCTCGATCCTCGCGCTCGTCGCTTCCACTCAGGCATGGGCTATATCCTCATCTGCGTGCACCCTATATAAAGGGGCCCCAGTGCTCTTCAGAGATAGCACCAGAGCGAACTACACCCACTGACTCAACTCCAAAGCGAACAGTAAGTCTCTTTCCCGAAACCCCTTAGCCTCACGACTAAACATCCTGCAATGCTAGACCATGAGCGCTAGCAACCAGCTCTCCGGCGACTGGTACAACCAACTCGGCTCCAAGTTTACCCTGATCGCAGATGAGAACGGCGGTCTCAGCGGGGAATACAACTCTGCCGTTGGGACGGCTGAAGATTCCTATATCCTCACCGGGAGGTTCGATGCGGATCCGCAACCGGGCAGGGGCATCTCCGTTGGCTGGGTGGTGACATTTCGTAACAGCAGGCTCAATGCGAATTCTACCACGACCTGGAGCGGCCAATACTTCGACGGTGATAATGAAAGGATCCTCGTCCACTGGCTTCTGAGTTCGAGTACCACTCCGAGCTCCGTCTGGAGGTCAATCAACACAGGACATAGCACGTTTACTCGCATCCCGCCCGACGCCGCTGAGATCGCGATGGCCCGGGCGCTTACAGTCGATTCGCCGGACCCGGAGGATATACTTGCAGTGATAGGAATGTAACGACCGTGGAACTTCGTTCCCTCATTTCCCATATCCACATTAACGGCTCGTATAGACGCTCGTACGTTCCTCTTTTGGGCTTCATTTTCCCATTTCTCGTGACCTCTCCTTCTCATTTATCTAGGCTTTCGTCCTTCTCAATTGCAGCAGTAAATGCCTACCATTTGACTCGATTCCTTGACCTGCCTTTAACCCACGAAACCCATAAATACGAGGCTCGAATGTACCACCATCTCAGTAAATAGCACAATGTTTTGAACTGTCAACTTCGCTCACTACGTTCCTTATCTCCTGTGCCGTCTTATTACGACTTCAGATATCATACTCATAGCGCACAGTACAGTTATTCTCCACGGGAGCGCCCTTCAGTCGACAGCGGCTAGCCTTCCCATACAACATTTTCTGCACCTAAGTCAGCCGCCCGCTTGGCGAAGATTTTTTCCCTCTAAATTGTATTGTTCATATGCGCGCTCCGAATCTTTAGTCTGCTCCAGTCGGCCCCGGGATCGTTTTCCTCAACAATCATTTCCTGAAAGAATCCCGCAACGGGGGTTGTCGAGAAGACCTCCGGATGCCCACCCTTAACTCCAGCATGCCCTCACCCTCCGACATGCCGTACCTAATAGTAACAGCACCTCATCTCAGACTCACGGACCGTTCGAGTTGACATCCATTCCCTCAGGCTATCACTCGAAGTTGTTGGACTTTATGATTTTGAGGACAGACCTATATTGTCTGGCGTATGTACTAATGTCTGTCGGTGTGGGCGAAGCATGGGCGAAGCCGAAGCGGGCGTCTAAAAATAGGCATCCCGAGCCGCCTTGGCGCTTAAGACCACACCGTTCGGCACCACAGAACGACTCTTCTGTGTTGGACTTGACGTCTCCACAGTTCGCATATAGCACTAACCCATGCACTACTAGCGTTACGGTGCACGGTGCGTCTGATCTTTCTTTCTTACCCGTGCTTATGTGCATCAAGCGCTCGTAACGAATGCAAATTCCAGCTGAGCAGGGCTCCGCCTCGCCTCGCCTTGCGTTCCTCCCTCCCTCCCTTATCTTCTCCGTCTCCTCCGAGGATGTCCCTCATGTCCCTGCTCCTGCGTCCGCCCCGACTCGGACACGCATGGAACTAGGAAAGGACACGCACTTCTGGGTGTTGCACGTACGTGTACTGGCAGCCGTCCTTTCCGATCCGAGTGAGCACGTGGACAACTTGAAGGCGATTCGGAAAGTTGGGCGGGTGTCCGTCGTGGGAGATCTACAGGCAGGGCATAGTCGAAGGTTTCAGTCTTTTGCTTTTCGTTTTTGTGGGCAGCAGCAGATGCGCGCTTGAAGGCTTTCGGAGACATGGTTGTTTTGATTGAGAATAAGCGCTCGTGATCAAGTGCAGGTTTTGCCGAGGCCTTGCGCTGGTGCATGTCGTGCAGGAGGTTAGAGTGAGAATTCGTAAAAGACGGCTCGGCCCCGGGACGCGTGAAGTACCAATGAAGACCAAGCAGCGACACAACCGGTCGCGTAAAGGAAGAAAGCAGATTACATAATTGCTCCTGCCGGCCCGTCTGGGTGAACAAAGACTTGGGCCGAGACATCTTTGACCTTTGACGTACATAAAACGATGCAAGAACGAATCGATTCTACTCCCTCCCTGGCCACTCACCACCACCACACCACTACCACCACCACCCAACTTCAAGGAAATGGCTACCAACCTTAACCTCTCCGAATGTACCGCAACGTTCCGCACCAAAGCGCACTACGAGCACCGCGACAGGCTGCAGCACGTCACCGGCACCTTAACTCACCCCACCCTGGGCGAGCTTGCCACTGTAAGCTGCCTCCAGATCCACGGCCGCATGTGGTTCAAGCGCCACGGCGACTTCCTCGAGATGATGGATGACGACAGTCAGGAGTTGCACGAGTTCTCGGTGACGCTGTTTGATAAGGACAGTAATGTGCGTCCGTGGCTTGTGGATGGAGGGGGTGCGAGGAGCGGCTCGGGGTGTTGGGGCATGGAGCTGAGCGTTGGGGATATGTTGTACATTAAGGATTTGAATGTCAAGGAGGAGGTATGTCCATTTTGTTCCTCTTCTCTGCTTGGTGGAAGCTGACCGTTTGGGTTCCTATTCACTCTAGTTCAGGAGACGCGGTGTCGGCTCGTACCTCCTTCAGAAACTCTTGGAGTCACCGCATATGGGATACAGAGGCCATGCGTTCTGTTGGCCGACGCCGATTGGCTTTAGGGGCGACAAGGCTGAATGGGCGAGATTGCAGGCCGCAATCACTGCCTTCTACCGTAAGGTAAGCGCCGTGTTGTCTCTCGGTTTCACAATCACTTACTTGCTTCCGTCTCCCCTCAGAACGGCTTCCGCCGCATCGGGCTCACATCCTTCCTCGCCTATTCCCCTGACCCATCCCACCCCTCGCGCACGCTCGACGCAGCCTCCGACCCCGAAACGCCCTCCATAGAGTTCGGCTCCAACAACCCCAATGCCCCAGATCTCAGTGCCGACGAAACGAAAGCGCAGTACCCCCTCCACTGCGCGATCTCCAACACCAAAGATCCCTCTATCATCCAGCTTATCCGGGTAGCGCACAATATCGATGCGGCCAGTATCAGGAAGCACGACGTCAACGGGTTGACGCCCGTGCATATAGCCGCTTCGGGCGAGAACTTGCATGCCCTGCGTGTACTGCTGGAGCTCGACCCGAGTGGGATAGCCAAGGATTTAAAGGACGCACACAACAGGGAGGGGATGACGCCCCTTGAGGCGCTGAGGTCATCGATGCGCTCGATTAGGGAGTTCAGCGAGACCTTGTTGAGTGCATGGAAGGGCTATACGGACGAGGGGCTGCGTTGTGAGTATATCATGACGAAAGCGATGGGGTTGCCGCTGGGGGTGGGGGAGGAGACGGAGGAAGAGTATGTGAAGAAGAGGAAGTTTGGGTGTACGTGTGGGAAATGCACGGGTGGGTGGCTGTCGCCTAGGATGAGGTTCCGTCTGACAGGTGAGTTTTCCGTGGGCATCGAGCAAAGGGTTGGGAGCTGGAGCTGATGTGTTCCCTTTGTTTTGTTCTTGCCCCATTTTATTTTCTAACCAGCTCAAGCGGACATTCAACATGACATGCTCCGTATGGAAGACTACCAGTTTGAAGCGCGCCGCCCCCTCTCCTCCGCCGAGCTCCTCTACAGCACGCTGGACTACGTCCCACTCGTCATCCGGCAGGAAATCTACAAGACATTCTACGTTGGGTTCTACACGATCTTCCACGCGATATCCCTCGTGCTCGGAAGACGACCGCAGGGGCCAGCCAGTATACCGACCCCTCAGGTGGTTCTAATTGAGGCGCTCGCACTCGAACCCAGAGCTGTACAGTTCTACCTGGGCAAGGGGGGAAAGGTGGAGTATGTCCTTGACGCAACGGTGGATATCGCGAGGGAGCAATCGGCGCTTGGGGACGGAACGTTCGAGGAGACGTTCGATACTGATGAAGTCGGAGGTGGGCAAGGCGAGAGATATGTGGAATTGCCGAAGTGTGCAAATGATTTGGAGTTCGATATCGTTAGGAGGAACATTGGGCTTGCAGGGGGTCTTGTGTGGGGGCCTTATTATGAAAGGGACGAGGATGAGGATGGGATGGAGGTTGATGACGATGACGACGATTCGGACTGAGATAAGTATACAATAATGCTGGCTTGTCTGCACTTGGGCCCTTGTACTATTATGTTTGTTCCTGCGACGCCCAAGCGCAGTTTTCAACTTCAAAGATGTACTATTGCATGGCTCTAACTCGACCCGATGCTCGTGTTAATATCACCCGTGAACGCGTGAACCACTTCACTTCGCCGATTGCACGCCATCTATTCATCACACCTTCACCTTCTATCTCAGTTTGTCACGCCTGCGGACAGACCCAGGAATGATATCAAGGCATATCTGTCATTACATAGTACATTGTCAACACTTCTCCAAGCTGCATTAGAACGGGAGACGCACCGTCCGTCAACACGCCACTTCTCTCCACGGGCGTCCAGGCGCTCGGCCACCGCCTTCTCCACACCGACGACGACGTCCGCCTTGTTTGTACGTAGACTGAGGAGAGGAAAGGAGCCTGCAAGTGGGCCTAGAGCTTCGTTGAAGCTCGTCCATGCCGGCCAGGCGACATCACCTGTAAGTCTGTTCGATGGTCAAATGGTATGTAAGCTTCGTCCTTGAAATAGAGTGGACCAGCAAGTGTGAAATTACGCACTTCCGGTAGCTAGAGGATAAATCAGGCGATCAGTAAGTATGATTACAGTCCTTGGCGACAGAAAGGAGGCACGTACTTGAGATCTCCCTAGATTGTCCCATGAGCAGTCGCTCAGTTATTCTGTCCCGAAACGAAACAGGAAATGCACCTTAAAAATAACCAAACCGCTCCCTCGAAGGCTCTCAAACGCGCCCGGGGACCGCGTGCGCATATCCCAGTAAGGATACGGCGATGTCCAGAACTCCGCCGCCTTGACCTCCTCGTCGTCCTTTCCCCCGCCGCCAAGAGGCGTCTCGACAGGCACGCTGAGGCTGAAGACCCCGCTTGCGAGGTACGACTGCCATCGCGACACCATCGTGTGCATGTGCGTTGTTTCTGAGTCGGATGGGGAGAAGGTGGGTGAGGAGAAGAAAGACGAGGCATCTTCCAGGGCGTCGAATGTTGTTTTGAAGTCGGGTGGTGTCACATCGGAGACGAACCATGGGATCAATTTAGGACTGGTCAAACGTAGTAATGGGGCAGAATTTAGTATGGCAATTAGGGTGGTAAGGGAAGAGCTCACTGGAAGACTACCTTGGTGACGTACGGCGTGTACGTTACTAGGAAATCAGCGAAGACCAAGTCGGTGAAGAGCTGTTTTTGTGCACGTTACGTTCGCAATAATTAGCCATCGGAAAACAGCATCAGACAAAAATAAACGAGAACAAAACGCATATATGCGGCGAGAAGGAGGGAGGGGATCGACGAGGGCGCAGAAGTGCGCCACATGGTTGAAAAATGCCAAAATGGGAAAACTAGTTGCCACACAAGGAATCGACGATCATTAAGCGAAAGTGACTGACTAACCTCAAATCCAGCTAGAAAAATTGCAACGCGTTCTCAGCCCTTCTTGATCCTTAAGAACATACAAAACCGAAGGACGCACTTACAATTATCCAGCACGAAATCGACCCTCTTCTGTGCCTCTTCCTTGCCCTCCAATCCCTTTATATGCGCCCACACTGCATCTTCATCGCCTCGTAGGATGAACTTCGAGCGCGCCGCCCGCGCTTCCTTGCCGACTGATTGAAGATGCGCAATGTCTTCTTGTGATAGGTGCGTGAGGAGGGAGAGGTCCGTCGCGTTGCCCCTGTAAGGTAGAATGGAATTGTGTCAGAGGAAAGATCAAATAAATGAAATGGAAGACGTGGGAGATGGAGATAGTCGAGGTGTGAAGGAAAGGCTGTCGCACCAAAGACACATCTGGATCATCTCATTGAAGAGCACGCCCAGCTTCTCCGGGTCGGCGCGGAGCGCAGCCCTATCCACCTCCAGCTCGTGCATTGTCGTTGCAATCTCTAGATTAGGGATATATGCGTTCAACAAATAAAAAACAATGTCAAGAGAAGAAGGGGGAAAGGGTCAACGAGAACCCAAGACGCACGATAGATCGCCTTCCCGGACTGCGCGAACGTCTTCATTTTCTGCTCCTGGAACGGGTCAATCGACGCCCAGTGATCCGTTTGGACGAAGAAAGAGCGGAGGAGGCGGTATAGGTAACACCTGCGAGATTTGGGCCTAATCGTCAATATGATGGAGACGCCCAGGGATCAACATGGGATGGAGACGGGTACGTACTCTGCAAACAGCCATGGGGCGGTAAACCAAGTATCCCGACTGTCCTTCGCGAGTGCTGCAAGCTCGGAATTGTATGTGTCGACGTGGGGCTCGCCGTCGTCAGGGATCAGGCTATGGAGAAGGAGGGGTGAAGACGACCAGTACGGATTGGGAGATGGGGAGTAGGTAAATGGGTGACAAATTAATGCATCCATCACGGGAGGACAAAGAGAGGGTTCAAAAGGGAAGGGGGAAAGAAGACCCTTTTTTCGAAAACAAGACGTGGTTTGAAAACAACAGGGACACTCACACCAAAGGCTTGTCCCTCGCCATCTCATACTTGAGCTTGCTCAACTTCTCGATGATCCCTGTGGCCTCCTTAATCTTTTTCCGAGTACTCTCTTGCACATCCACATTCGACACCTCCGCGCTCGAGTCGGTGCCAGCATTCAAGTTGGATTGCAGCGAGAGCTGGTGGCACGCCTGGTGTAGCGTGTCGATCACCCCGGTGATGATGATCGGCCAGCGCTTGACCACGGTTTCGTATCTGCCATGATGTCGCGTTTCGCGGGGATAGACGTATGAGGCTTGAACTTGAGCCTCGAGACCTGGTGGTTATAGGGCGGGACTCACGAGAATCTGCGACATAGATCGTGTTGGCGATTAGCAAAGCGACCGACTCTGGGAGCAACGATCCTGAGAAGAGAGAGCTTACCCTGACTTGTCCGTGGGATCGTACGGAGGATGCGGCGCTGTGAAAATCGACATTTGTGTTACCAAGCGGTGGCGGAATATAGGAGGATGGAGGAGAGACAGAGAGACGACATGCCAGGGTTACTATCGGTCAACGGTTGCCGGTCCGGCTCCGGGTTGACGTCATCAAATATCCGGGTCCTCGTGTATTGGAGTTTGCAGCATTCATCCTGAGGCCTGAGGAGGCCTGAGGGACCAGGAACATCTAGCTAGGCGTTGACTCCGGGGGACAAGATCTGAGATACCGCTACGGGTGAGTAGAAGACGAGGAAAACGGTTGCTTGTGGGCCACGGGTTGATGACCGTGAGATCATGTCGGTTTATCGTCAGCAGTGGCGATCCTTAGCTGCTTCGTCTCCAACGTCCACCACTCCTCCACATATTCAAACTACAAATGGTGTCAGAATCTACTTTCCACTTCAATCCAAACCTTCCAACGATTCGACGAGATTCAGTATAGGAATCGATAAAATGTCGGAAGCACTCAAGTTTACATCCGTCGACGAGATCGAGAAGGTATGTCGCTTTGAAGTTTACGTAGCCCTGCTAACAACTTTCGAAAATATCTATTAGATCCGCGACGAGCTCCGAACCGGGTTTGTATCGGGAAAGCTGCACGACATCGCGTACAGGAAGTACCAGCTTGTACAACTCATGTACCTTATCAAGGACAACTCGGCGCGCTTTGAGGAAGCGTTCAAGAAAGATCTGGGAAGGCCGATTTTGGAGGCCCGTATGTGCGTACACGTCTCTTCAGGCTCTGTAGCCTCCGGCAGGACTACCAACAGGAGCAAAGGCACCGCTGGTATACTGACCATTGCGGTTTTCAGGCTTGAGATTGACCGCCAAAACTCAGTGGAGGAACGTGAAGAAATGGGCCAAGCCTACGAAACCTGCGTTCAGCGTCAATTTCTTCGCCATGAAGCCTATTACGAGGCAGGAGCCCAAGGGCACCGTCCTCGTCGTTAGCCCGTTCAACTATCCTGTCTGGCTGTCGCTTGGTCCGGTCGTACGTGTCTCTCCACTTCCACCCTTTCCCCATGACTCCATCCTCCATGTCCACCTCTATGACCCAGAGCTGATGTCACTCTACTTCTAATCTTGGTGTAGGTAGGAGCCATCGCCGCAGGCTGCACCGTCCTTCTCAAGCCCTCGGAGTTGACGCCAAATATAAGCGCCCTAATGACCGGGTTGACCTCGAAGTACCTCGATCGTGATGTTGTGCGTGTGGTCAACGGAGCCGTTCTGGAGACGACGAAGGCAAGTTTATCTGTTTCTGTCGATCCAGACAGCTAAATCTGGTTCGCGTTCTTCGGCGGTATTTATAGGTCCTGGAGCTCCAGTGGGACCACAGTGCGTCTGTCTTGCTGGTCTGGACCAGTACCATATTTGTTGACGTCGCTGCGCGTCCTAGTTCTCTATACCGGTGACTATCTTTTCTTGCTGCGGGGTTTTTCTTCGGTCTAAAGCTCGCATTCCCAGGCGGAGGGAGGGTAGGTCCTATCGTCGCCACTGCTGCTGCGAAACGTCTCACCCCAACAACTCTCGAGCTTGGAGGTACGGACTTTTATTCCAGATTTATCTGTTTTTTTTTTATCAATGTTGCCCCCTCCGTAGGAAAGTCCCCTGTCATCACCGACCACAACGGACCTCAAGTTGGCGGCGAGGCGTATTCTATGGGGAAAGACCGTCAATGCTGGCCAGACTTGCGTCGCACCGGATTACATCCCACGCGACTTCCAGGACAAGTTCGTCCAAGCGCTTAAAGAGGTGTAAGTGTTCTCCAGGAACTACCCCCCTTCGCAGAATCACCTGATTCCCGCTGTGCGTTGCCCTGCAGCTACGAAGAGTTCTACCCTGACACACACAAACACGCTGCCGCTTCCGACTCCTTCAGCCGGATGATCACTCCTCAAGCCACCGCTCGTGTCGCCTGCTTGCTCGAGAAAACTCAAGGCAAGATCGTCTTCGGCGGAGAGGTCGACCAGGAGAATAAGTTCGTCGCCCCGACGGCTACCTATCGTGCCTGTCAAGGACATTGACGGGGCGACCCAGTTCGTTAATGAGCGGTGGTTTTTTTTTCTTAGAGTTTGTGTCAGGAGACAGATTTTTATGAGTTCTTGTTTTTTCGTAGAGAGCACCCACTTGCGCTCTACGTCTTCTCGCAGGACGACCAAGTCAAGTCCAAAGTCTTCGACAGGACGCAAAGTGGTGCCGTCGTCGCCAACGAGACCGTCATTCATTGCGGGGGTACGTACTTCCATTTCCCTCTCCCTTTCCATTTATCTAACCTAAATGCTAGCTGAGAGATTACCATTTGGTGGTGTAGATGCCAGCGGATGTACCTTTGTCTTTCGTTCTCTGTAGACTGACATGGTGGCGCTAATGATATCATGATTCTAGATGGCATGCACACAGGCCGGTACAGCTTTGATATGTTCACGCACTTCAGAGCGTCCATGGACTCCTCAGGATGGTACGCCTCTACTCGTGCCTTCCCGTACGCTGATCTCAGTTTGAACCCTCTCAAGATCGACACCATCCTCAAGTTCCGCTATCCTCCGTATAATGTGCGCCTCAGCTTCTCTTCCCTTCCCCCAGGCTGATGTATGTATGTCCATTTTTAAAATCTTGAATCTAGGGCTCAAAACCAAGGCAACTCATAGCCTAGCGACCTCCCTCCCCAAGCGTCCGACAGGACCGCCGACTAAAAGGCAAAGGTAAATGGTGGGGCAAATATTTTATTCTAGCTATGGCCATCGCTGCTGGTGGGCTGACTCAGGTGAAGAGATCTAATTAGGTTTTCCGGCATTCCTATCCTCGCTCCTCTGCTCTCGTTCCCACTGCTGATTGCAAACATTTAGCCCGTTTGTGTTTGATTCCGTTATATGTAACAATACAAAGTGTTGTCGAGCCAGAGTCATCCTATGGAATGTGTGTCTTCCATTTGCCTCGTGGGCGAAGGGAAAGACAACCCAACCTTGTAAGGTGAGCGCTAGGCTGAGGGTCGCCGGGATCTAATCTCGGACAGCCGATCATGATCGGATGAAGTCCGAAAACGTCATCGTCTCGCTTTTCTCGTCCGAATGGTCGCTCAGTTTCCTCCTTTGGAGTATCAAGTCTATGGTATGGCATTGTTCTTCAGGTACCTAAGTTGTGCGTATGTGGGCGTATGCAAGAGTGGGGGTTGTATGTAGGTTTTTGTGTGCTATGTAAATGTATTTATTCGGATGTGTATGTGGACTCAGAAAGAAACAGAGAATGAACAGAAAAGGAAGCGACGTAAATGAGAGCATTAGCGGGACAAAGAAATAGCAAGTAGGCGTATGTATGCACAGCTGAGAGATGAACGGAAAAGATTGCGTACGGAGGACCAGATATGCAGGAAGGATTTGTACTTGATGTGCTGATGGTCGATAAGGAGGCTCAGAGGTATGGGTAATGCAATGGCAGGTGAGAGTCGGGTGAGCGGAATGGTTGTAGAATCGGTCGGCCGACGCCATTAAGCGAATAGGTCGTTGAAGTTAGTCGACTAGCCCTGCGCTTGCAGCTTCTCGTACTGTTCCGGGGTATAAGTTTTCTAACACCCAGCATGTCAGCACAGGTCGGCTTTTCCAAGAAGCTTGGGCGTTATACCTGCGAGAATGCGTGCATTTGCGCAATCTGGTCTTTGAGCAGGTCGTTCACTATGTCAAGGAAATTCTTTCAGCACACTCATATCCTCCGACTCGAAACTACAAGGACTCACCCATTCGGTGTCTGGCCAGAGTTGACTTTCCTTGGAATGACTGCTCGTCACCCGAACAGTGGTCAGCGCCTTGCCCGCCAGAGGAGGTTCGGGTAGGAGATAATATACCTCGCTAACAAGCACAATGGCGTAACTATCGCCGCAGCCGCTGCTCTGGTCCACAATCTCCAGGTGAGTGACAGGGATGGCACGCTTGATCGCTTTTTCGAGGGCGATCACGTCAATGGGCATCGTTTGGTTCAGGCTGGCGTTTGGCTCAGAGGGATTTAGGTTTGGAGTAGTACCAAGGACGCGTCAAAGAGAAGATTCAGGCGGCGAGGACAGGATGGTAGAGGTAAGAGGCAAGACAGGTATATGGAAGGTAAACAAGATGGCTTATCTGATAAGATGCAACGAGGTGGACAAATATATGCAACGTTTCTAATCGACGTCCCACCCCTTTCAGGCCCAGGCTTCACCTTCACTGATCTGTTCTCACTCCGTGGTTCACACTCGATGCCACCCTCGCAGCGTCGTGTCGAGTAAGTCGCGGGTGGACACCTGGGTCCTCTTTCGCTGTCAGCTTTGCCATCTCAGAGGAAAGAAGTGGCGTCCTCACGTACAATGGCCAGCTCTTGTTCTGACTAGGAGATAGCATATAAATATTGGTATGGGGTTCGTAAATCCTATTGCTCCCACTGTCACTGACGTTCAAGCTAGGAATTAACACGCGAAGAACTCGTTGTGTGAACCAGATTGACAGTCTTCTTACTTAAAGTGTGCCGGGGGTGGTTCTTAGATCTCAAAATAGGCTACCTCGCGCCTTGGGCTTGATTGTTCGATCTTTAGGAATCTTGAGTGAAGTGGTTGTCAACTCCATATCGCTTGAATTAGAAGAATCAGCGGTGCAGCATCCGACTCCTTTCCTTATCAGCTCCGCGAAGTCCAGTACTCCCAGTGTTGCTCTCTCCTGTTATTTTGAATTTTCTTGCAATCATGCTATTCTTCTTCCCCCGGGCATGCCTTGTCTTTCCAGCCCTCCAGGTTATCCTACCGCTCCTCCTTCCCCCCTTACCGACTAGCGCAATTCCCGCCGAGTTCGACGTTACCCTCAATAGCAGAGTACCCATCTCCCACCCAGCACCGACAGTGCCGATAAAGAAAGCGAAGGTGCTTATACTCGGCGGCGGCCTGACAGGTATCATAGCCGCGCGAACGTTGCACCAGGCAGGGATCACAGACTTTATCATTGTCGAAGCACGCACGGAACTCGGCGGACGCATGCAGTCCGTCCCGTTTGGACGCTCCCCGTTCCCTCGTGTGCAGGTCGAGCAGGGCCCTAACTGGATCCAGGGTACACAGACCCCGGGAGGAAATGCCAATCCGATTTTCGAGCTGGCAAAGAAACATGGACTGAAGTCGAGGTTTAATGACTGGTTTGAGAGCCTTTGTAAGCCGTTGATGACGAATTAGAGTAAAGGATCGCCGGCGCCTAACACGGTGTATAATTTCCACTTAGCGACCTACAATGCTTCGGGGCCGGCCGATTTCCTGGATGTTTTCGGGCAGTCGGAGGATGACTACGAGCGATTGACTGTGCTGGCTGGTGCGTCTCCCTACCCGTGGTTGAGGGTGACGAAGTCATGAACCTTGTACCCTATAGGCACGCGGGTCGACAAGGGTCTTGTGGACACGTCCGCCCGGACAGGGTACTCCCTAGGTGGAGCGAAGCCTGCAACGCCACATGCCCGTGCATCCGAATACTACCAATTTGACTGGGAATATGCGCAGACGCCCGACCAGTCATCTTTGATCGCGTCGTCGTGGGTGAGCACAAGCGCTCCGATCCAACGGGAGAGATAGGGAAATTTACCTGCATTTCCTTTCCGTAGGGAAACAATTATACGTACGACGTCACCTCGGGAGGCTTCTCGGACGACAACCAGATGAGCATCGATCAGCGTGGGTTCAAGACAATCGCTCAGACCGAAGCCACCGAGTTCCTCGCGCCGTCTGGTAGACAGGTCTGGTTGGGCGCCACGGTAAGGACAGTGAAGCACTCGAGGGAAGGAGTGCAAGTGGTCCTGGCGGATGGCCGCGAGCTCAGCGCGGACTACGCACTGTGCACGTTCAGCTTAGGCGTGCTCCAGCACGACGATGTGATATTTGAACCCAAGTTGCCTGGTGAGTGTTTTTTTATTTATTTTAATGGTGTGGATTTTTTGACCTTGTTTGGTTTCTACTTTATGTAGATTTCAAGCAGGAGGCAATCCAGAGTATGGTGATGGCAACATACACAAAAATCTTCCTGCAATTCCCCCACAAGTTCTGGTTCGATACTGAGGTCATTCTCACACCAAATATAACTTGAAAGCCTACTTACAGTGACGTAGATGGCAATCTATGCAGACGAACAGCGCGGCCGATATACCGTCTGGCAGAGTCTTGACCACTCCGGCTTCCTTCCTGGCTCGGGCATCATCTTTGTCACCGTCACTGTGCGTTTTCTACACTCTTTTCATTCTCGAAGTACCCTCACCCGTCAATTTAAAGGGCGACTTTGCAATCCGCATCGAGACGCTCTCCAACGCCCAAGTACAGGAAGAGGTCCTCTCAGTCTTGCGTGCCATGTTCCCGTCCGTGCTCGTCCCCGAGCCAACCGACTTCTACTTTCCGCGCTGGCATGCGAACCCGCTCTTCCGAGGCTCCTACTCGAACTGGCCGCCCTCGTTTGCGAGTCAGCACCTGGATAACCTGAGAGCGAACATTGGGAGACTGTACTTTGCTGGCGAGGCGACAAGCAGGAAATATTTTGGTGCGTCGTTACGCTTCGGTGGCTTGGTCTGTATTGTGGAGGTGACCTAACATCGGATGTGCATGGACAGGTTTCTTGCAAGGTGCCTACTTCGAAGGGCTCGGGATGGGCACGAAAATTGCAGAATGTGTAAAGGGAGGGGCGTGTGCTGACCTTCAGCATTTTGTGGAGGTAACGAATGCATATCCGTACGAATTGAATAATTGAGAACATATCCGATAAGATCCTATTTCTTATAGAGATAAGATAAGTCCGACCTTTGTTCAATTACTACCCTCTTCCTTCGCTTCACCACGCCGCCTTCACTGCTCCCAGCAATCAATAACCACGCGCAGCCAATCAGGTCTTTCGTACTGCCGCCCAGCGACTACTCATGAAGGGATCCTCGAGGATAACATGCGTGTGACGTGGCTCCCCACGTTTGCTGTAGGATCCAAACCCAATAACACTGAAGAAATTGGCATAATGCTCTTTACAATGACCTAGCTATAATGTCCTGCTCTGCTGCTACTTGATCCACATCTGCTTGTTGTCCTCGACGAACTGCCTCAAAGTGCGAGTCCCTGTGATCGTCTTGTTGGTTCCCACAATGGCCTCCTCGACTCCGTCGTCGATCCGAGCTTCACGTCCGGTTAACATGGCGGCATGCTCTTTGGACACCCCGAACGATTGGAAGAGGGCTTGCTCTTCTTCGTTCGTCAGGTGCTTGTGGGTAATTTTCCTTCCAAGCACATCGCTCAGGAGAGCAGCTACCTGGAAAGGTTGCATTCCAACGTTAACGAGATCCTCAGGTGACAACACTGCCTGTTTACCTCGTCGTACGAATACAGCCCCGGTCCAGCAAGATAATAATCTTTATTGGGACTCTTCTCGGAAAATAAGGCATCGAAGGCTGCCTTCGCAATGTCGTCCGCTCCGATGAAGGGAATGCGACCACTCTGGGTGACAGAAAAGATCTCGTTGTTCTCGCGGATGCTGTGGTAGAACATGGTGCCAAAGTTCTCTATTGCCAGTGAAGAGGTCAGCTGAGTGACTATCTCAAGACTTCATAATGTGAGTCACGCACCAATAAACCACGTCGGACGCAAGACAGTATAGTCGACGCCGAGCTGCACAATGTATTCGTGCAGCTTGCCGATGAAGGGACTTCCTGGCTCGGTCTGGCTTCCGCTGAGAAGGACAAACCTCTTGACGCCCTTGGAGATTGCGAGATCGACGAAAGGTTTAACGATTGTAAGAACCTCGGTAACACTCGGGGTGATGAGGTAGACCCTGTCAATATTCGGGTCGGCCTTGAAGGGGTTTTCGAACGTCGCGGAGTCGGTCCAATCGAACTTGATGGCCTTGAAGGGCTCTGGGGCCACGCCCAAGCGACTGGCAATCAAAAACGTATGGCCTGCCGTGTGTATCAGTTTGGCCAACAAAGACCCAGTCTTTCCTGTGCCGCCGACGAGGAGAGTGGTCATAATGAGCCTGGAGAGGATATGAAAACTAGAGGGTAGTGGTACCTCCTAATGTCCGCGAATCGCCAGCTTTATAGCCATCGGTCCCTTCGTCCTGTCATCGATATCTGTATTGAGAAGGATTGATGTTATCAAGAAAGCTTCAGCGGTGAGTAATTACTAATTGCTCACCAGAAGACGATAGTGCCTCGATCCCACCGTAACTCCTCCAAACGTGGCAGCACTCCTAAGGATCTTTGTCCTAAGGTCCGTCTACCATCTTGGTCTAAGACACCACCCTGCCTAATGCTGAAATTTGAAGGGGACAATAGTCTTCGATGAATACAAACATCCAAGTAGTAGTTGACACGATGTTACCTTCAGTCACCCGCACCGCACTTGTCTACATTGAATCGGAATATTTGTGAAATTGGCTTCGGGACGGGAACATCCGTCAGTCGCTGATTGAGAAAATATGATGTCATTGTGATTACTTCCTCCTCCAACCGCTCAACCGACCGGACAATGGTCATGTACCCTTTTCCTGCGCTTCACCACGCTACCTCCACCCAGCCAGCAATCGACAATCATGCTCATCCCATCCTGAGCGCATCTTTCCGCTCCAACCTCCCCTTCGAGGGCGTCTTCTCCGAGGCAGACGGCGAAGCGCTCACACGAGATGCCATTCACACACTAGCTGGTAGACGAGCGACGAAGCAGCTCGCAAAGCTCTATGGCTTGAACGACGGAACGTCTTGGGAGGAGGTGAAGCGACATAGGGACGGCATCAATTGGGAAGACCTGTGTCTGTTGTGCTTCGAGAAGGCCGGAATTGAGACGGTGCTCGTGGATGATGGACTCGGTGGAAGCGGCGAGTGGGCGGAGAGATACAAGAGTCTTGGGAGGTTTATGCGGGGAGATGCGAAGAGGATAGTGCGGGTGGAGGTGGAGGCAGAGGTGGGTCGTTATCGCCTTTGAACCAGCGACGCGTACTGATAGACGTTGATATCCCACTGTGGGCCTGTAGGGGTTGTTGAAGGACATCCTGGGGCCATACATCAGTCCTGGAGCTCACGGGTCTCTCAAATCAGGCCATGTCGTGCGCTTGTTCGAGACGAAGTTGACTAGCATTCTCAGTCAGAACGCCAGCGACCAGGACGTCGTGGGGTTCAAGTCAATCGTGTGCTACCGCACGGGGGTGGACGTGTCCCTCTCTAGCAGCATGCAGGAGAAGGAGGACGCGTTGTCGGAAGTGCTTGACGTGTACCGCCGCACAGGGATGATACGACTCGCGCACAAGCCCTTGAACGACACGGTTGTGCGGATCGCCTTGGGTGTTGCTGGGGACTACGAGATTCCAGGTTGGGGCCTTTATCTCTCTAACTCAAAGTGAATTTAGCTGCCCTTGTTGTTACCTCAGTGCAATTCCACACAGGGTTGGGCGACAGCGACATTCGGCTCACGAAGAGTTCCCCAGCACACCTCCAGGGAATCATAGAAGCGTTCCCCAAGACGACGTTCGTGATACTCCACGCTGCTTATCCGTACACACGGGACGCGGGATATCTCACCGCGATGTACTCCAATGTGTATTTGGACTTTGGCGAGGTGTGTACAGCCCCTGTTCAGACCGCCAACCTCCATACCGATGCCGAGTCATGGATTGGCAGGTCTTCCCCTTTGTGTCCGCCGAAGGCCAGCGTAATGTCCTCCGTCAGGTACTCGAGCTTAGCCCAACGAACAAGATCATGTGGTCCAGTGGGTACTTTCACTTGCTGCAGCCGTCTCTGACTTTCTGACTCGAGCCTCCTCTTTGCCCACTAGGTGACGGTCATTGGTGGCCCGAGTCCTACTACCTCGGAGCACAGCAGGCGCGTGAGGCGTTATACGAGGTGCGTGTATTGCTGTTGGACTCGTTCATCGTTTGCAATTTGGCACCGGAATAGGGCCCGTTGCGGGAACAGGCTGACCCTTGTCTCAGGTTTTGGCGGAGAGCGTACGGCGAGGCGAGCTTACAGAAGAAGAGGCTGTCGAGGTGGTCCAGAATGCATTGTACAGGACGGCGGAGAGGGTGTATCGTCTGCAGGAACGGGAAGAGATGAGGCTCTAACTGAGAACACCGAGGTTGAACTTTTCCAAGTTATGTCAGTATATTCAATCTGATTAGCCCCCTTCAATCGTAATCGTCTTCCCAGGATTAGGCATGCGAGAAGGCTTAAAGCAAGTTAGTGACTTGGTGCTCTAGCAGTCCAAATGTAGCGCCCATTTTATCCCAAGTATATAAGTCTCCTTTCGCCATTAGGCATTCCCAATGTCAAGTAAACAAATCGGTCAAAGTGAACAACCCGAAAACAGTGCTCAATAAGGTAGGGCTCATGCACGGAGTGCAGACCTCGCGTGACAGGCGTGACAAACACCAATTTTTGAAGAAAAGTCTTAATGGTGGCCGCAAATGCAAGAAAATAAAAAATCGAGCCGCGCAGGGTTTTAGAAAATTGGAGGACTGAAAACCCTGCGCGAACGGATTTTTTGTTTTGGACGTTTCGAGAGCGCCATTAAGCTTACAAGCATCAAAAGTGGTCAATTTCACTGTCATCTCCCCTTCTTTGCCATCTGACGCCCCCCACGCTCGTGGCCTTATCTTGAAATTATTTCTTAATGTGATGTCAGGGTAATTTGACCGAATTGAAGGCAAAAATGGCAAATCTACTGCCCAGATACATACAGGATGGGCTGCTCGAAGACGCCAGTTCTCTGACACTCATCAAGCCCCGAGGTCTCCAACAGAGTGTAGGTCATGGGACATGTGCAAGAATTGACTAAACCTTCTTTGAATGCATTTGGGCTCTCGTCCGCAGCAAAGCGATGGCTTCATGCTCGAAGCGTGGGCTCGGGTGAGGATGTGGTCGAGGCATGAGAACCATGAAGGACCCCCACCGAAGGTAAATGTTCTTGTGATAAAATAGCCACAAATTTGATCATAAAACTTCAGGTGCTCGACGAGACATCGGGTATAGGTTTCTCGACTTTATTTAAGTCGTGTATGCACCCTAGTGAACAACACACCAATTGCTTTAGGGGTCTGTCACGGAAATGTAACGCCACGTGATGTATGAAGCCTGTGCATAAGCCCTAAGGTAGGGAAAGTCCATATCCAACTAAGATGACTAAGCATGATATTGCGTGACAGCTAAGTCCTGACCCAGTACTTTTTTTTTTTTTTTTTTTGAAGTCTTCCATGTAGGGTGTATTTTATATGTACTCCAAATACACAAAAAATAAGGTGTTCAATCACAGTCCCTTGGAGGTAGGCTACACCTAAACGACCCTCCTCATCATCCCATCCCTCGACCCGCTGCCTTTGGTTGAAGCCCCATTGGGTGCCGAAGCTTCCAGCTGTTGAGACAGTTGGTGAGAGCTGACCAGTTTCCTTGCGGTTCGCCAAATCTGAACAATCAAGGGCTTCATGGTGTTAGTCCTTCCCAGCATTGGGCGCTGAAGCTTCCAAGCTGTCAGTCGCCTGCATGGTTGGTGTGCCAGGCCAACACCATTGATGGGGGCAGCACATGTAGGTGCTAAGTACCCCTAACGAGATTGGATGGTTTGGAAGTGAAATGTTGAAACGAGTGACTCTGCCTTCCACTATGCCTTCCACCCTCTGATACAACCCCACCCGCTTTCCTCCCCCATTTCCCAAACCCTAAGGCATGCATCCTGTAGCATCCCCCTACCATGCGAAGGTGGTCAAATATCTAGTGTTTCTCCCCAAGGGGTGTAGCCAGATCATAGGCAACACGGCTGATGATCGGAGACTAGCCTCCTCCCTCCATGGGTTGCCTTCCATGACTAGGTTGTGCCCCCGAAAGGTCTGCGCGAAGCAGAGCAAGACGGTACACGGGCTGCCTGTCAAGTAGGGCCATCAGTTGCGCTTTGAGGTTGTCGTAAACAAGGTCTTCGGGCCTCCAACAAAGCAATTGGGATACAACCACGCTGAAGTCACAATCTTCTCTGATAAATAAGAAAAGGTGTTGATTTAATGAATAGATAAGGAATCAGGCGATGAGTGGGGCCCAATGGAGGACAATGCCGATTAATGAGAGGAGTTCGGTAGTGTAGAGCGTGGCCATGGTGGGGGCAACAAATTCCCATGGCCAGATGGCGATGGTTCAAAATCAAGAAGTGTTGGTTCTGACCCAGTACAGGAACACCCGCTTGTCGTTTGAGACCACGTACATGAGGAATTGATAAAAGTAGATAATCATTGTGAATAAATACCTCTATTATAATGACTCAAAATGACAATATAATATTACAGTGATCTAATACCCACCTTATCCATGTCCACCAAAATGGTTTCCGGGAGAACTCGATGACCCCGATATTTACGAGCAGCCCATGCAGCCTCCCTCCCAGTCAAACCCCTCCTATATGCATCCATAAAGTGCCTTGTCCAGTTACTGAAGCACCACATCAAGGTGAGGGGTACTGAATCAAGGGCAGCAATGACATTCTTCTTGAGATCTGCATCTAGAGATGATGGCGGGCACATCTGATAGACGCGCTTTGCATAACCCCAGCATTGCTCAATTGGATTTAACTCACAATGAAATTTTGGCAAAAACATCACCCAGAACCCTTCCACCTCGCAAAAGACCTCCAACTTTGATTTTTGATTGACAAAATCAGGCTGATTGAAGAGGATCTGCCGGCAACAGCAGTCAGTCACTCCAGGGATGCATTTGAAGTCCTTGCATTCAGCATGAAGTTTGTTGGTGTCAAAATCATGCTCATCAAGGATGGTGGCCATGCCTTTGAACCAGCCAGGTCGAGCAGAATCGTCATTGGGAAAATAGAAGGCCTGTGTGGTGCCATCACTAAAGTAGCCATTGGTCATCTGAATCTTGGTCTTGACAGGCTTTCCATTCTCGAGTCTGGGCTGTCCATCAGGTCCCCTCTCGATTGCATCAATTCCCCAAGTAGCAGAGGGGTTCTTGCAGCCATGTCAGCTATAATTCTGTATCAAACACTGGGTTTAACCAGTGTGAACTCATAGATCAGGACTGGGATTAAGCAGTCAGGGTCTCCGAGGCTGCTGGAGTGAATTTGCTGGGGATGCCGGGGCTTCCTGTTACAACTTTGTGTTGCATCTGGTGCTTCGGGAGTTCATTTCGCATATCTTTCCACCCACCGGTCAGAATCTCATCCGGTCTTTTGCAGTCCCTTCAGAATGTCAACAGATCCTCATATACGAAGTTTGGTAATTTTTGAACAAGTCCGAGGTACTCATTTTAATTATTTTCGTGTTTTTCGCGCATTTTTAGCTCTTTCTCTAATACCATTTCCCCCAGGCATTGGAGCCTCATCCGCCACTACTGAAACATGCTAAGGGACGTTATACTGACCCGAGCGCACCATTTAATGGGTGCGATATGCAGATTTGGTAAGTATTTACATAGATACTGATGAGGGGGACTACCTCCTCCTTCTCCCCTTAATAACTTTACACAGAATCGTTTTCTTGCCCTCGTAAGTACCTCGTTCTGTTCCTATACATTTATCGTCATTTATCATGATTTTACATGGGCCAATATCTCCCATCCTGGATGTCAATAGAATATCTTAGCTCGTGTGAAATTGGTCAATAACCCAACTTCCAGGCAATATTAAATTATGATAAAATATGTTAAATTCATGAATAAATATACACTATCGATGTACCAACTTTCAGTCTTTCAGAGATACGTTTAGTGGGGTATCCAGAGTGGGTCTCCTGGTGTACCTATACCCCCCTCAGATATACTACACCCAGACACCCCCTGGCATCATCAATGGTACTATTACTCTCAGACATGTATCCCATGATTTTTGGCCGAGCTAAATGGCCCTAAATGCCCCCGAGGATGCATGGGTGCACCATGCATTGTAGGAGTCAAAATCGCATTTGTCATATCTCAACGAGTTCTTATCCGTTTCACGCGATCAAAGGATATACAGGACGGCATCAATGTAACAGACAACTCGCTCAGCCAAAGCTAAGCGAAATAATGCGAGGGCGAGCCGGAATTATGCATGGATGTGCAGGCATCACAATATTGCCAAATTTGGCAAAGCGCATCAAACCCCGCCGCGCACACTATTCCTGGCTGTGTGGCGCACCCCATAATTCATAATAAATGCTCAAAATATTCGTGAAGCACCCCCCACTATAGATACAAAGGTCTGCAAAGTTTCACAGCGAAATATTAAGTTTTCAATTTGATATTCAATTGTTTTGTATTAAAAATGCAAAAGCCTCTGGATTTTTCGCATTTTTGGCTCCCCCAGCCCATCCCGCACCCTGTGGGGGCCATGACAATTATTAGCATGCATATCTAGCCCCGCCCAACCCATTTTTAGGCCCCTGCCGCACCCAGAACCCACCCCGCCATCCCACTAGCCCCTATCATGCATGCCCCACCATCCCTGCCTGTTTCGGACAGATTTCCCATGGATTTCCCACCCCTCCCGCCCCCCACAGGCCTACCCTACCCCCGCCCCACCCCCGGGAGGGTTGTTTGGTCATTTATTTACCCCCTCCCACCCCAAAACAAATCTCTATAGCCCCGGCATCCCCAGCAAATTCACTCCAGCAGCCTCGGAGACCCTGACTGCTTAATCCCAGTCCTGATCTATGAGTTCACACTGGTTAAACCCAGTGTTTGATACAGAATTATAGCTGACATGGCTGCAAGAACCCCTCTGCTACTTGGGGAATTGATGCAATCGAGAGGGGACCTGATGGACAGCCCAGACTCGAGAATGGAAAGCCTGTCAAGACCAAGATTCAGATGACCAATGGCTACTTTAGTGATGGCACCACGCAGGCCTTCTATTTTCCCAATGACGATTCTGCTCGACCTGGCTGGTTCAAAGGCATGGCCACCATCCTTGATGAGCATGATTTTGACACCAACAAACTTCATGCTGAATGCAAGGACTTCAAATGCATCCCTGGAGTGACTGACTGCTGTTGCCGGCAGATCCTCTTCAATCAGCCTGATTTTG